CCCCCCCCCCCACCCCCCACTTGGGGACAAACAAAAAGGTAAGGGGAAAACTGGGAAGGAATCAGAGAGTGGAATGAAGTTGGAAATACCTGAAATGAAATCGACTAGGGTTTTCGCTGGATTGAGATGGGATAATTTGTCCGGTGGGCGTGGATCAGGCGAGAAAATTAACAGTCGTCCAACCAAAAAATGAACAGAGGGTGGCGCTGCGTTTCGCGGCAGAATCGATTAAATTGCAAGAACGTGAATTTGGAGGATACACAGCCGCACCTCGAGTTTGTTTGACTCCCTCGCAAACCCATCCGCCCCCCTAATTCGTTATCTTCGTGGGCATTTTCGTAAAACCACCCCCAGGTTTTCTCTTTAATAATTGATTATTAAATTAGAATCTAAATTAATAAAAATAACTTTAATTCTATTTTACAAATATTAACTTTCAAAATTATTTTCCCCTTTTACGTTTGTTTTATATAGAAATATTTATTACTTTATTTTAAAAATACCTTTCAACTTTCTTATCCAAATCAAAGACACCCTTATGCTTAAATTAGATATGAAATTTTAAAAATAACATCATATCATTTGCTTTTATAATAAAAGTTTAAAATTTTTTTTATCGTTAATATATGGACGAAAACTGTCTATTAACATTTTATAAATTATATCCAAACTTTTTAATAATATTTTTGAAAGTTAAAAAGTTATTGAGTAGTTTAACGCCACGCCAAATCTATTTTTGAATTAAATAAAAAAAACAAGTTATAAAGTGTTTTTGAATATTTTAAAAAAACTTAAGGTATTAATGAAATTTTTTAAGGGTATTTTTTAAACCATTTTGAAAATTAGATTATTTTATTATTATTTTTTTAAGTTAAAATGGTTTTTTTCTTAATTTAATGATATTCTTTTCCATTCATGTTTTGAGTGGGAGAAGGCAAAATATTGGAGACAAAAACATTTGTTTGAGATTCAAATCACTGTAGGCTTAAATAATTCTAAATATATCACCTAAACTATATAGAATTTCAAATGAACTTAGTCATTGATTAAAAAAACACTAAAGGTTCTTTTTATTAAATTTTTCAAATCTCAAGGATACATAACACGACCTATAGCCTCAAAATGAAACTTTTTTACCTTCACAAAACATCTCAAGAGTGATAACCTTCACCGTTTATGACTATAATTAGTCATTATGTAAATGTAACATTAAAATAAATAAAAAAAATCTTGAAATACATTAATAAAACACCGTAACTCTAGATTATTGTTCAGTTAAAATTTTGAAACGTCATAACTAATATTTTTGATCCGTAAGTTTGATATATTAAATATCAATGTTTTTTTTTTTTTTTTTTTTGCGATACAAGTCTTACAGGTCTGACACATTCTTAAAACCTATATTTATGGTAAATGATAAATAGAGATAATAGTGAAATAATTCATCCTGCAGCTACAATAATATTAAAATTTCCTATCCACATTTATTTTTTATAAAAAAAATAAAAAAACATTTTCAAATTCAAATCTCCAGGATTCCATTAAATGTGTTAAAATCTGAGGCCCATAGGCCTGAGAACTATGGATTGGGTGCGCTCGTAACAATGCACTAGCCGTTTGAGGTGTACATCTAATTCGATAATCTGGACCAACCCAACCCGAATTATGGGAGTTCGGTTGGGTTGGATTGAGTTGAGTTGAGTTGTTTTTCCTAAACTCAAAGTGACTCGATTCGGTTACCGGTTCATAAGATAAAAAACTCGGGTTGACCCGAAATCGAATAAAATTTATAAATAACATTGAGAACTCTGTCGTAGATCTGTCAAAATGGCAATCCGAGTTTACTAGAATACTGAGTATGGGTAGCTAGTAGCGGTTGCCGCCCATTTATTTATTTCTTTCAAATCCAATAAAAATGGAAAGATTAATTTATATATTTTTTATAATCTTTTATTTAATATTATTATTATTATATATTGAATCTCATTTGTCTTCTATATTTGTAAATATAACAACAATTTTGTGGGTTTTGAAAACATGACAAAATACTTGAAATCTAGTTTTTTATTTTTTACTTATTTTTAGTCATGAAAAAATACCACGTCATCATACGGCCACGTGTCACAAACCAGTACTTCGGTCGGCCACATAATCACAAAATCTGAGGTGTCATATCTAATTTACTATTAGTTCGGTATACCACGTATTACGTGGCAATGAATTAGAAGACAATTAATTCAGATTTTGCTATTTTTATAAAATTGAAAAATGGTTACTACTTTTATAAATGTCTCTTAATTTTTGTCCGCTTCCACAAGTGCCTCCGTATACGGACACGTGTCATTCCATTTTAAATTAAAAAAAAGAATTCAATTGAATTAAAATAAGATAACTAACCATTACAAATTAAATTTAAAAAAAAAAATTGATGGTGAATAACGTTACAACAGGATGACAATTTAGGCAAATCTATCATATTTCTACAAAACATTAATTTTGCAAATAAAAATAATTAAAAATGTACTTTTATTAAAATTAACAAATAATAAATGTGAATAAAATTATTATTAGTTAATTTTAATAAAAGTTTACAACTCAACCTTGTGTCCGGTTGTTTTATATATATATATATAATTATTTTTAAAATCTTACTTGTCGTAAACACACGTTACATAAATAACTAAAAAAATCTCATTAAATTCAAATATCAACTATCTTAAGTTACAACACATCTGATTAACATTACTTACAAACGTGTAATATTTTTAATATTGCAGTACTTTTAAAAGTATAGTAGGGTTGGATTGTAACCCTATTTTCGGGGGTTTAGGGTTGACATGACAAAAGAAATATTAATCCTAATTTTCGATTTTTCCAAAGTTGAACACAAACCACTAAATGAAAAAAAAACTAATTCAAAACAACGTTTGTGATTTGAGTTGAATGGTTCGAGTTGATCGAATCCTCAAGTCATATTGTAATGAAGGAAAAAATAAAAATAAAAATAATCCGGGGGCTAAGTCAACTGAGGGGCAAAAATGTCATTTTGCCCATCCAGCCCAAATAGGAGTCCAAGGAGAATCCCGTCAGATTCCCTGCAAAAGAAAGAAGGAGTTAGAGAGAAATCAGTGAGGAGTCAGCCGGGAAGATTAACGGACCATCGCCGGAATCCATCTCCAGACGAGACTCGTATAAGGATCGAGAGGCTAGCAAGGCCGACGCTCCGTCAAAACCTAAGAACATTTCGCGATGTAAGGTTTCTGAATGACATTGCTCAGATCTGAGTTTTCCCCTACGTGAATCGATCCTAAAATGCTGAAATCTTCACCTAGGAACAACTCACGCACGATTTGTGAAGAAGTTTGGCCGAGACCTCAACCCAAAGGCGGAGATCCAAGAGTCGTCCGAGAACGGTGAGCGAACTTCCAACGTTCTTAAATCATCCGATAGTCAAGAAAAAATTACAAAAAAAAATACTAGGACGTAGCCTGTAACACAATCTAGAACTTTGCCGAAGGAATCATATCGATCCGATTTACGGATCGAAAGATATGAAAATCGGAAAGAAAAAAAAACAGACAGGGTTTCGGTTTTCAGAGGACAGAGAAGAAAGAAGAAAGAGAGAAAAAAAAATGGCCGGCGACAGGTGCCGGACACGCGTTGACCACCGGCTGGAGCAACGCAGCTCTAGCGAGGCGTCGACACGTGTCGCCTGCAAGTCGGGCCGAACCGCAACGCGAGCCGAGCAGACCGGGTCGGCCGACCCGCGACTATGCGGAAGTGGGCGCACGTGCAGCCTGCGACTGGCGCCTTCCCGCGCGCGTGGAACGGCCAATTTGGCCCGGTTGTTTTCTGTTTGCCCGATTTTTGTCCCTGTTCCAGTTCTAATACTGTTTTTACGTGAATAGGGACCTAATTTAGAGAAATCAGTATTTTTGGACACCTCACGGACAAAGAAACCCTCGGTTAATTGCTAGGGCCCATTTCTAGGATAAGATTAGGGAATTTCTGTTAGGAGTGATATGCCGCTCTAGTCAGACTTAATTTTCCCCTAGAAACTTAGCGGTTTACCACGGCAAGAAGGTACCCCGGAGTGTTCATAGATTGCTAGCGTGTGAACGGTATCTATAGCTTTGTGGGAGGACCAAGGGGTCCCTGATCAGTCCTTACTGCTCTTAGCCATTTCGCATGGAAAATGTGTCCCCACGTCGTACAGCCCATTAGCTGCATGGGAACGAGTTGGGTCGCGCCCCCCATAGGGGGACTAGATGGGCGTAGGGGTACTCAGCACACCCCTAGGTTAGGTACCATGTAGTCCCAGATAGCCATGTAGAGGTAGCACCTCATAGAGAGATACCGACCATATTAGCTTGGCATAAAGAACCTCTAGGCGTTTAATGAAAGAACGAAGAACCAGTGAAACCCAAGGGGCAAGCCCCAATGGACCAAGATTAGAACCAAATGTCCTAGAATCGAAATAGGAAACCGTGGCAACCTGTTAAATTAAGATGCGAAAAGAGCCTACAAGTAGGTGGCTTACTGAGTATAATTTTTATATTCATCCTTGCTATGTTTTCCTTTTTTTTTTCAGGAGCACGAGGCATCGGTCAAGAGTGGGCGTGATCAGACGGGAAGTGTCACAGAGGAATGGATTGTCCCGGGGCGTCAGTCTAGTCTTAGTCTTTATTTTTATATTTGCATTCTTTTGAAATTTATTTTCCAAATGGTATTGTATTCTGTGTTTGTCGTTCGAAAAACATTATTGGAATTTGATGATTTTCTTTATTTCATATTTAAATCTCTTTGTGCATTTGTGTGGTGTCGTTAGTCACGGTCCGTAGTAAAATATTGGGCTGTAACACATATGAACACTCGTATAAACTTTTAACATTTCTCAAGGTGTTACGGGTGAAAATAACGTTTTTTAAATTAATTTAAAAATAAAGACACCCTAAATTCCCCATTTAAGAGATTAAGTCAAATCTCAATTACACCCTTTTTCTAAACTTTCTTTATCAGTTTGAAGTTTAAGACGCCCTCTCCCCTTCGCAATTTCATTGTTTTCCACGCTGGACATCATTTTTCGTAAATAAAGAATAATAACAAATCAGGTACATAAATTGTATTTATAATGTTTTAATTTCATAATTCTCTATCAATTTTAAATTTTATTTCTCCATTAAACATAAATATCTTTTTCATATTTATTCAACTATAAAAATAAAATTCCATCTCATTTTAATATTTTCAATTTATTTAAATTCATACACTTTTTAAACATAATTATAAGAGATCTCACGCCTTTAAAACGTAA